TTCCAGCGTGTCCAGATTCTCATGACTGCCAAGCTTGCCCTCGATATGGGTGTCCCTATTCACGGCATCGTTGCCCTCACCACGACTGCCAGTGACAAGATTGGCCGCTCCGTCCCCGCGCCTGGCCAGGGTATCCTGACGACGGCCCGCGAGCATGCCAGCAAGTTCCCCTCGCCCCTTCTGGATATCAACTATCGTCGCCGCCAGATTGAACTTCGCAAGAAGCAGGTCAAGCAGTGGCAGGAGTCTGAGCTTGAATACCTCTGGGAGGAGGTTGAGGCCATGAAGGCTCAGGGACACGGCTTCGATGAGAAGGAGTACGCCCACGAGCGTGCGTTGCACATTGAGAAGGAGGCGCAGAGGCAGGAGAAGGAGGTCCTGCGCAGCCTGGGCAACAACTTTTGGAAGTCGGACCCTACCATTGCACCTCTGCGCGGTGCCCTTGCTACATGGGGTCTCACGATCGACGACCTGGACGTCGCCTCGTTCCACGGTACCTCGACCAAGGCGAACGACAAGAACGAGTCATCTGTCGTTTGCCAGCAGCTCAAGCACCTTGGCCGCAAGAAGGGCAACGCCGTGCTGGGTATTTTCCAGAAGTACCTCACTGGTCACCCCAAGGGTGCTGCCGGTGCCTGGATGATGAACGGTTGTTTGCAGGTCCTCAACTCGGGTCTCGTGCCCGGTAACCGCAACGCCGACAACGTCGACGCCGTCATGGAGCAGTTCGACATGATCGTCTACCCCAGCCGCAGCATCCAAACGGACGGCGTCAAGGCCTTCTCGGTCACGTCGTTCGGTTTCGGTCAGAAGGGCGCGCAGGCGATTGGTGTGCATCCCAAGTACCTCTACGCCGCGCTTGACGAGGAGACGTATGAGGCCTACAGCGCCAAGGTGGAGGCGCGTCAGAAGAAGGCATACCGCTTCTTCCACAACGGCATGATCAACAACACGCTGTTCGTGGCCAAGAGCAACGCTCCCTATGATGAGGAGCAGCTGGGCAAGGTCCTACTGAACCCCGACGCGCGCGTCTCGGTTGACAAGAAGACTTCGTCTCTGACGTACGCTCCCAACTTTATGAAGCAGTCAGAGAAGACGGTCAAGACGAGCGCGGCCAAGGCGACGCAGGACATGATGGAGACGCTGGCGAAGAAGACGGTCTCGAGCAACAGCAAGGTCGGCGTTGACGTCGAGGACATCTCGGCCATCAACATTGAAAACGAGACGTTTGTGACAAGGAACTTCACGGCGGGCGAGATTGCCTACTGCCAGAAGGCGCCCAGCCCTCAGAGCTCATTTGCGGGGCGATGGAGCGCCAAGGAGGCCGTGTTCAAGTCCCTCGGCGTCGCCAGCAAGGGCGCCGGCGCGGCGCTGAAGGACATTGAGATTTCCAAGAACGAGGATGGTGCTCCCGTGGTTAACGTACGTTCAATCTTGTCTATCCTGACAGAAGCCCCCCCCTTGGTGCGTGATTACTGACTTTTTCTTTTCTCACAGCTCCATGGCGATGCTGCGGCAGCGGCCAAGAAGGCAGGTCTCAAAGAGATCAGCGTGTCTATCTCGCACTCGGACTCACAGGCAATCGCAGTGGCGGTGGCTACGTTTTGAGCGAGCAGGTAGATGGTAATGAGAGCCCGCATGTAATTGTTTTTCCACGGGAGGTACGCAAATGGGCGGAGCATGGGACTCGAGGATATGTCGTTGTTTTATTCGAGGCATGTTTTTTATTCTTCTCGACAGGTTATCTATAGAAGGAGAGGAACGGAGAGGGTGGAACGTTTTTCAAGACTTGAGGCACAGGACGAGGGCACTTTGGGAGGAGTTCCCTCGGGTTGCTGTCGTCAAGTTTCGGAAAGCGAGTAGCACAGCACAGCACAGCACAGACAGGCAGACAGCTGGGTGCGGCTGCGGCGACTTGACGGGATGAAGAGAATGAAGAGAGAGATAAAGATGTAGACATGCGATTCTGAGCAATGTGACAGGTTACAGCTTGAATTGGGTGTGAATGCCTTTCTGCAAATCATGAATGACGATGCGCCTTCAGCACGTGATGAAAGGGAGCCAACGACAATGCTGGCCCTGTGTGGCTTCGTTGAAGCTCAAGACGGCTGAGCTCGTCCGTGGCCTCGGAGGAAGGGGGGCGTAATTGCGAGCGTTGAGGTTCAACGAGGAGAGGAAGGGTGGGGGGAGGAACCAGGCGGCCGAATATGCCCGTCTGACAGCCAGGGTGGGTGGGCTTGTCGCTGGGGCTGGCATGCATTCATGCTAGGAGAATTAGGTGCCGAAGCTGTCTATTACGAGCATCATTTGCGCCTTGCAGACAGGTCGTGGTGAAGAGCAGCAGACAGACCCTTGGACGTGGTGAGTGGAGGCAAGCTTTCTCGTGCTTTTGCTTTTTGACTTAGTCTTTCCTGGAGAGGGGGGGGGGGGCGCGGGGCTTGGCAATCGAATGAGGCCATCACCAGATCACGTAGCTCGAAATGCGGAAATCGCGGAACGCCCCAGGCGAACGGGGATCGTCTCAGGAGGTTTTACGTACCGAAAAGTCACAGTATAATGGTGCCCATGCCGATCGGTCACCGTTTTCGAAGGGATGGATGCATGGGGGGAGGATGGGGGGATTTGTGGCTTTGGGCGGCCTCTTCGCTCGGTTGTCCTCTGCTTTATCTGCGGTGAGGATTCAGTTCGGATAGCCACCTTAACCTTTCAGGTTTCTAGTAAGATGCCGGGGAGGGGATGGCGTGTGTTATTTTGGACCAGGCTGAGCCTCCACCATGTTGAGATGATGGGGTCGTTCTCGCGCCCTTTACTTACTCGTTTGGGTTTGGGGCTGGGTCACTGGCGCGGAATTGCTGTGACGCACGATTCAATTTTGGGGACAAGGCAGTATGGTCTGGTGGCACTCAGGCTCAGCCCAATCTGTCTGTCGTGCGACGATGAGGAAGGGCG